TATGTGTGGCTTATGGAACGAGTAATTATTGTGTAGCTTTAAATAAAGTTCATCTTAAACAGAAGGAATGGTCATGGGCCTCCAGGGGACACAGCCTTAGCACTCCTTGGGGGTTAGCTCTTCCAAGCAGTACTCTCTCCCAATTCAATTCCCAGCCAAGTTGCAGTCACCTCACTTAGGATCCGGTAGCCTCAGCTCAGCCAGGTGTCAGGAAATCTTGGTTTCCCAACTATTCTCATGTGTTTTCCATCCTCGTCCTTTACTTCGCTGGTCCCCCTGCAGTTTTGACTCCCATCTTGGTATCCCCAGGGAAATGTTCTCAAGGCCACTGAAGTTTGGAGGAAGAAAGGAGTGTGGAGCTTTTATATTCACCTTTGAAACATGGCCCAAGCGCATCACAAGACAGCTTCTGGTTAATATGGTTATTCTGACGTGGCAAAGCATGTCCTGTGCTTCCAAAGTCTCAAGGAAATAGCAGTTTCTATTCTTCAGCTCTTTCTATAGCCCACGTTTATATTCATGCAATATTAGAACTGAAAGGACCTAAGAAGTTAGTGTTCAATGTGCATTTCCCTGCTATTTCTTCATATCACTATTCCGTCAGCAATGGCTCATTTCAACCCTCACCAACGCAATTTCTCAAAAGGAAATCCAACAATGGTATGCACTTTCAGTGCCCTACCACACGTATCACTTCCTTCCAAAGAAAAGAGACGCTCCTTGGTATGGAGGCTCCTTGGCATGGAGGCTTCCTGAAGCCCTCGCTGCTTCTTCGGGCTCTTCTCCCTCCAGTATCCCACATGCTGGGCATCTGCTTTGCTCACGATCTCTGCCTGCAGCGCCCTAAAGCCACCTTACACCGCGCCTGCCTTATTCTACTGCCCACTCTCCCCTGGCTAAATCCTTCAGCTTAATTGCCCATTCCCAACCCCTTCCAGAACATCTTTACACCTCCTCGCTCTCTCTCAGGTACTAAGTGCTCCTTCTCTGAGTTTGTGGGGTGCTATAATTGTTCCTTTTATTATCTATCTCCACCAGAAGATTGTGTTCTACTTAAGGACCATGTCTCCTTCCTTTCTTTCTCTGTATCCCCTTAACATAGTGCCTGGCCAATAGGCGGTACTCAATAGACTTATATAAATATTGGATCTCAAGTGATGGCTCTATTGCCCATATTTTAGTGATTAAAAAAATCTATAGGGGCGCCTGGGTGGCTCAGTCATTAAGCGTCTGCCTTCGGCTC